GGGATTTCAACTGGGGATAATCCTGTGGGATCCAAATCTCTTGGCCTTGCAATATGGGGTTCTTCCTATTCAGTCCTCAACTCCATGAACAGTAGTCTTGAATATTATTTTGCTTTTTGGTGTCTCATTGTCACTCCTGTGTTTAAAGCTCTTTGGATTTGATGAAGCTTTAGGATGTTAGAGCAATGAGGACCATTGCTTCAGAATGTGAATTGCTCCCATGGAGTAGTTAGGACAGTTAAGTGAAATTAAAGAAAGAGCTTTCTATAAGATGCTCTTATTCAAATGATGTTCATCAGTCAGTTCATTAATCAACATTTGGGATATAGTATATAGTCTACTGTTCTAATGGGGGTATTAAAGTGAATTTTTTTTTTATGTGAGATATACTAAATTTCATACCCATAGCACTAAAGTGGAACCAAATTCAGTGTTTTGATTCAGGCTTAAGAACTTGGGTTTATTTGGCTTTATGAGAGTGGCTTTAATTTCAGGGGGTAAAGTTATTAATGAAACTTACAGAAATGGATATTAAGTATAAAATTCAATCCAGCATTGTAATTTTCAATGAGAAGTAAAGCCTCTAGGCAGTTAAGAATGGTTTATTCTATTTTTTGTAAGCAAGCTACATAGGAAGCCATACGGAAGCTAGATTCCTAGGGGATTATGCTTTGGTGAAAATAGAAAAGGAATAAAGGGGTTTAGATAGCTTTAATACCTGTCTTTTCAGCAAATCAAGCTTGAGGTACCCATTCACTATAACCCATCCACTATAGAGCACCAACAGATACTCCAATCTGCTTAGCTGAGCTGCTTCTTGGAGATAGTACTTGAAAATGGACACTTCTGCCAGTTCTTAGTTTAGTGTTTTTCTTTCTTTTTTCTTTTTTTTTTAAACCTTTAACCTACTAGGGAAAACTGTCATTGATCATTTACCATTTGAGTCTAACGGTCCTTTTTTTAATTTAAGGTATTTTACAAATAATTTTACCATGAGAATGAAAGGCTAGTGAAATCCAACATTATTAGGTATTTTTACTAAGAGTTGTTTTTGTTTGTTTGTTTAATTGCCATAGGGTACAGTGCTTGTCAGAGAGTGAGAGACAAAGCACCCCCCAATGGGATGTGGTCACACCACATTTCTCAGGAAAGGGGAGGGGGAGTGGGTGAGAGAGAGAGAGAGAAGCCACCAGGATCAGGATTCCCTCTCATCAAGCCACCAGAACTCAGTCATGGAGGCCCTATTCTAGATACTATCACACTCAAAGGCCCCCTATTTTTAATACTAGTTATCTGTAAGTTTCTGTCCTCTTAATTTCATTACAGTGGTGGAACATATAAATTTTGGGTGGACATAGGGCAGCAGTAGCAATACTGTCATGTGCACTTCTAGAAAGCAGTTGCTCTGGTTTCTTGTTGAACTTTGCCTGATAAAATTCTAGTCGATTGGTTAACTGTTCCTTTTTCTCCTTTGAAATGTATTTGTTTTAAAACATTGATCTAGGATGTCTCCTACATAATACCATTCTAGGATTTTATAGTCTGAGATTTTTTTTTTTTTTTTTGCCAGAGGGCCTGTATACTCACTGGAGAGAGAACATGAGAGTCCTTCCCCCACCCCACATGCAATGGCCTTGCTGCAATCCCTTCTCCATTTCTTCCTCTGATTTGTGATTTGGGGCATGCATGCACACATGCCCAATGTGTTTGCCCAGTGTGTTTTTCAATCTTTTGTTGAGTCTGGGACTTGAACTTCACAATCTGCCACATGGGATCCAATTTATGTAACCACCAGGCCATGAGCTGGGCTGAGGTTTTATAATTTCACATTCATCAGTAGAAGCGGGAGTGCTTCTGTGTCTTTGTATCTGTCTTCTGATTCTTCTAATTATTGCACAAGGCCTTTTTTGTAAATGTGGTTTGTTTTGCAATTATGGGTAATTGTAAATATTTGGGCTATGCAGTAAGGACACCTTAGGATGATTCTTTTATATATATATAATTACTTAACTTTATTTATTTATTTAAATTGGACTAGAGAGGGACAGAGTGAGAGGGGGTAGAGAAAAAAAGCAAGCTGCCAGGTCTGGGACTCAAACCATTGTCAGCCATGTGGGAGTCCAGCATCTTCACCCACCATGCCACCTACTGGCCCCAGGATGATTCTTTTTTTTTTTTTTTTTTT